ATGATGAAAGGGATTGCAAATTCATACTAAAAAAAACACATTATAAAGAAAGTAAACCATAAACCTTATTTATTCAATGGAAGCCAAGAAGAAACTAAGATCAACAACCCTCAAAAGAGCCATATTACATGCACAACCAACACTTAGGTACATAATTGAAGATCATACTAGCTAGCCTGCGGGCGTTTCAGAGAATTATTATGCAATATAAAGTAAGATAGCCATTGCCCCCCTCCCTCCTAAACCAAAAGAGATCTCAAACTCCACGGTAGGTTTTGATAGCACACTCGGATTGCATTGCCTCTGGTGTTTCAACGAAGTGAAGGTAACTGACATGATCAAATGGTTTATAGGATAAGGGGTGTTTGTCGTCGATCAGCTCTTCTGGAACTTGTACAGTTAAGGAATGAGAAGAGTCCCATGGATAATCTGGTTTTGTTCAGTTTCAGACCACTTGGTGAAAACAAGACGGCACTCTGCCATTGCACCATGCCAGCAAAGACAAAGTTACTTAAAAGATGGAAAATACTTAAACTCTCTATATTTCATGTCCATCCAATTAAATCAAAAGATAAAATAAAAATTTGAAACTCCATAATTAATTAATCATACACCCCTTTCCTTTTACTAACAAGTTGAAATTAAGAAAGTGAGTTATATACGTACCATGAAAGTGTCGCCTGCCATAACTATAAATGATGTGGGTGAAGGCTCAGCACAAACCACTGACCATCCTTTGTTTTCACTTCCAAACCATTCACCTCCTTTTGGTGAAGAATGGATATGAAGGTCTTGTCCGTGTGAGGAGTAGTCCCACGTTGGTTTCATTCTCCGTCTGTTCTTTATACTTAAAGCATCTGAGCAGGTAATTTGTTGACGCCATGTGATATTCATAAAGCCTCTCTACCCCATAAACATCAAACACCATTTTTGTCACCAGTTGAGTCAGCTCAGCCACCAGATTTGAGAAGGTACAAGCTTTTTCACTACTCAAAGAAATAACACAGTATTAGCAAGGCATAATATATACGTACCAAAAAAATGGTGAGTATACTACATTATATCCTGAAAAAAGTTACAGAAATTTAGATTAGGTCATTAAACCAATAAAAACATACCAAAATTAGTCATTTCCTGCAGGCCAAATCATATTTGTGAATTTTTCTACTCCTTCAGGAGTTGTTGCGTAATCGACTCCCAAGGATTTGTAGAGAGGAAGGAAAGAATATTGGCTAACATAGCTGGGATCACTGTTCTTCTGGCATTTGGTTTCAACTGGAAGATCAAATAGACCTTTAATCACAGAAAACATGTCGTTGTGAAGGCCCAAAGGTACTCCGTGGTAAGTGGCTTCAAAGCAGCCAGAGTCTTCAACTGCTTAATTGCTGGACTTGTTTGCATGTCGACTTCCATGCCTCAGTTCCAGGCTTCAAATTTTCAACATTGGTTAAATCTACAACAGGAAGCTTGGCCTCACCTTCTGAACCCATGATAAGTATCCCTCTCTTGAACTGTATATTTTAGCTAGTTCTTGGAAATATAAGTAACTATCTTACCAAGTTTTGGGGAATTGGTGCACTGATATGCATGGTAACGAAAAGATTATATATAGCAACAATTTAGACAAAGCTTTTTACCAACAGAATGACAAATCTAGTTAATCCAACGCCCTTCACGTATTGATAATGTTATCATCGCTATCCAATATTGACTGAAGATCCTTTTTGCATTATTAGCTTGCCACTAATGTAAAAATAATGCAAGAGAGATGTAAAATACCACATGGTCCGATTTTTGTTTCTTTTTTTCTCTAGGTCCTTGTTCCGTCCTTTAGTATTTAGTTTTCTTTGTTTTTGTGTGTGGTTGTTTCTTCCATATCAAATTAATATATCTTTAATTTCAAGGTTCTTTAATTTCACTCTGGTAGTTCACTACTTTGTCGAAGTTCTGATTCTAAAGTTTTTAGTTACAATTAGTGCTGATAGACCTTATTTCCTGTCATCATTAGTTACAAGTTAGGGGGGAAAAACACCGGAACTCTACACACAATCTCAACAGGATGCATGGCTAAAGATCGAAACAGGGATGAGCCAGGAAGAGGGATATCCACAGGGGAAGAGAAACAGTACAGATCAGTAAAGAAATTAGGGGGGGAAACAGTAGAAGCTAAGAAAAGAGAAGAGGAAGAAAGAAAGGGGGAAAGGCGACCGACCCCGTCGGCAGCTAGGGTCGGAGCCACCAGATTTGCTCAAAATTAAAATCCTCATACTAAAAGTGAGAAGATCTCAACATAGAGAGAAAGACTCTCATTCGGAGAGAACTTTTTTTACCAACAAAAATATGACATTTTGAAGCTTTGGAAGAAATAGTTTCATTTCTTGATCCGAGTTCATATTGGGAGTGCCTAAAACCGTACTTAGTTTTGTGTGTTGGATTTTGTGTACCTTTTTTATTAGAAAATGATAACTACTCTTTTTTTTTCATACACATCACTGTTTAATCATGTTTATTGTTTTTAACTCAACGAACGAAAGTCAAAAATATATATGTATAGAAAGAGTAAAAAACTGTGGTTGTCATTTCTCTTGCTTATTTGTTATCACCATATGAAGGGGTTATTGAAAACTTTGCAAACTCGCTAGTCGTCACTAGTTACTGTTAAAAAATTTGGTTTATTTGTTTGGTTCAAACAGTCAAACACACTAGGGTCCCCTGCTAAAAAAGTGTTGTGCAGCAGAGATTGGTAAAAACTAACTAAAGTTGGCCCTTCCAACTCACGATACACTGCTTTTGTGAAGCACCATCACTCCAACCCTTGAGATTAAGTAGCTTCTAGCTTGTAACCTTGGTGGGAGCAATAGGGTGATGGAACATCAACTGGGTTCTATTGGTTTGCTAATGTTGCCTTTTCCAAACCAATAGAGAGATGGAGATTGCATGTTTACAGCTCGGAGCTTTGCTAAGTAATTGTGAGTCGTTGATGCGTTGTGAAAACGTCATATTCATGACAATTTGAAATTCTGCTAGCATCAGTAGCTCACATGTGCATAAGTGATTGTGAGTCGTTGATGCATTGTGAAAACGCCATAACTTTGTGATAATGGAATGTCGTGCTAGTCCTAGCTAGGTGAAAGTAACCTTTGTTTCTCTCTAACTACCATGCTCTCAAGATGTTAATGTCCAACATTTTTCTTCTTTCAATTTTCCTTCAATCCCCCTCAGGTTATTTTCTTCTTAAAAGAAGTGAAATGTTTGTTCATACCATAAGCCAACAACATCCATCTGTATGAAAGCGTGGTCCATATTCACCTCTGAGCATCCTAGCCTGCAATTCTGGCAAACATGGTTGCAAATTACATAATTACCTAATCACAATAACCATCTTAATAACATAATGGAACTTCATTTTGGTGTTAATCTGGAAACTAAAAAGCTTTTGTTCCCTACATTATTGGTTTTGACTTTTGGGACCCTAAAATTTCTGAATTTGTTATCATTAAAGATCACAAAATACCACTTTCGTTGCGACTTAGTACTACAGTCGAGAGATATTCCTCTTCACTTTTAAGTGAGAGGTCTTAAGTTTGATTATCGACAAATGCGTATTTGAACTACATTATTACTAGCTTATTATGAGGATAAGCCCACCTCTTCCTCCTTTATTGTAAATAATATTGTTTGTTAAATATATATATATATATATATATATATATCACTTTTGTTTAACCGTACACATCTCTGTATTAATATTTATCGTGCCATGTGACATCTCTTGCCAAATAATAATCCAAGACAAATTGTGTGTAGATTTTGGGTGGATTTTGTGACCACGTTTGACCCCCAATTCTGCACAGGATTAAATACAAGGCTATTTTAGGGTGAAGGTGCTGAACTGTCTCCAACCCAAGGGATTAAATAGAGATGCTAAAACTGAAAGTAAAAACACACAACCAAAAACGACAGCAGCAATTTCTGCAGAATGCAATTTAAAAGCTAAACAGAATTTATGTATACTTTCATTGATGAGGTTGGTTTCCTTCCCCGTGATACAGTGAGACATATTGGCCAGAAGATGAGTCTGACCCAAATTTGCATCACAAACTCCCAGCCCTAAATAATACACGTCTTTTCTCCTTCTACACACTCCAGTTAATTTTCACCCACTAATTCTCCTCCCAATTCATTCAATCCAAAGACCGGAAACAGTAAGGGGCGCACAAGGAAAGAGCAGGGGGTGTGCAAAAATCTTTTCCATTTTTTAAAATTAATTTTACACGAATATATATAGAAAACAGAATTATGAAGCAGGCAGTGTGGTTTTCTGGTTCAGGCTAAAATACAATGGTGTACTATGACAGACTGGCCTATGAATCCTAAGAAAGCATGTGAGGCTTCTGACACCATTTTTGCTATGAATCTTATGCACCCAAATCCAACCGCCCTACCCCAAATGTTTGGGTCTCTATGTTCATAATGATGGTTCATTTGGGTCCTACAACTTCTCTCAAATGGTTGCAAATATCAGCAATTGCTTTTCTGGTGAATTCAAATGCCCCATCCATGCAAATCATACCCCGACCTTCATTCATTTTCTTCATTCATTTTCTTTTGTTGTATAGGGCGTGATCTACCTAAAGATTCTAGAGAGCACACATATTCTCAAATTCACGTCAAGAGTTCGATTCTTGCACCTTTACAGGCGAAAGTGCAACCCCTAATAGTGAAAGGGGAGTAGTTTCCCACTCATCAAAAGGGAAAACACAACATTCCCAGCAAATATAATCACATCACCTTTATATATGTATATAATTTTTTGCAGTGGCCCAAATACAACATAGACATATCAAATCAAGCAAAAACAATTCTTCACTCCTCATGGCTTTCAGCCTTTAGAAAGACAGATAGGAAGCATCCCAACCACCCCCCGCCCCCCTTTTTTTACCATAAAAGTAGGGTTAGCTAGTGATGTATAAGTACTTATAAATTAATGTTCTCTATCATGAAACACAAATAAATAAATTAAATTAAATAATCGCAAACGAAAATACAACTGTTTTCTTCAAATCGTCATGGCCACGGATTAAAAAACCATGCCCAAAACAACAACAAATTGAAGAAAATAAAACGTTGGTAAGCAATAGTGGCACTCTGAAAGCAAATACTACTCAAAATTACTATCCACAAACTTCAGTCAACTTCTTCTTACTTTTTACTTTATTTACTTTTTCACTTTTCTTCCCGTCCTCTTGGTTGTCACCAGCTAAAATCTTTTGTTTGGTATTGGAAATTGGAACCCCAATCATCAAATCCCAAACCACATATACCATAAATTGGTAGAAATTAATTATGGCACTCATTAGACCTATAATTTAAACCCCCCCCCCCCCCCCCCCCCAATCTTTTAAAATATCATGAGTCATTTATTTTTCCCTCTCTATAATTCAATAAAAAACCAACAAATTAATCAAAAACCTCTATCGTAAACCTTCTTGGTTGGGCAACTTTGATCAGAAGAGTCGCTGAATGTAAGCCTTCTCTTAGTGCCAAATGATGAAGTTTCAAGCACTTCCATCGAGCTTGATGAAGGGGAAATTGAAAACTTGGGTGCTGGTGTCTTAGCTTTTCTTTCCACCACTCCCTGCATAAAATTATAGCAGGAATATATACGTTCCTGTTCCAATGGAAATTAATTAAGATTAGTTAACTTAAAAAAATCAGTGAACAGTGTATAATTAGTAGGCTCACATAATCTTGGGACTGCAAGAATGAGATCACATTCATCTTAATCTCCAGAATCTTTCTAGTTAACCGACCATCAAATGCTGCTAAAACTGCAGCAGCTGCAATAATCGACGGCCGAGTATCCATTAAATCAATTTCTGCATTACAGAAATCAGGTTGATTAGGAAATGCAACAAATTATGCAAATTTAATTATAATTGGGAATATGGGATTAGATTACCTTTTGCCATTGCCATAATAAGTTTTATAGCATTAGAAACTAGTCCTTCTGGCCTTGCTTGATCAGCACAAAACTTATTGATGAAGTAATGCAGATAAGCAAAAGGAGTGATTGAACCCAACTTCCATTCCAATGTATTCAACACCAAAAGCTCCATTCTTTGAATGACTTTGCTTTCAAAATCATAATCCGAAACCGAAAACTCTGATAAAGTTGGTATTTTGCATTCTTCCATCTTAGCAGCCAAGGATAAACATGCCACTGATAACAATCTAATAGCCCACAATTTCTCATCCTATGTATTAAAACAAAAAAACCAATAAAAATCCAAATATTACTAGCAAAACATATATACTACAGAAACCCAGTTTGCAAAACGTTAAAAGTATTAGTTAACTTACATCAATGGATAGTTTTGAAAGAAACCTATCAAAGTAAGTCACTGATAAGTAAGCTGTTTGCAACTGGAACCCAAAAACTGCCCCCGTCTGCAAAATCCACAAACTTTCAGGGACTGAACAAGAAATATAAAAACAACAATCTGGGAAAGTTAAGAGCTTTAGGGAGAGTGACATGCATTGAAAATCCAATCAATGGCATCCAGTCGAGCAGTTTTCAACCAGCTCATGCCAGAGGCAGAGTAATCCATTAACCCATTGGATCCAAAGCAATAAGCTTCTTTCTGAACCAAGTTTTCGACATATTCATCATCGTTATCAAAAAGAAAGCATGGGTTGAATTCTACGGATGTGTTCGATTCGTCTTTCAACTGGCTCAGACAAGTTTCATCTTCTTGGCAGAGAAGGCTGGAGAGAGAGAATGAAGTTTGTGCAGAGTCCCCCATTTCCCCCTAGTCTCTCTGAACATCTACGATGAATGAACAATCAACAGATACTAAAAACTATCGAAACCAGGACGTGCATTTTACTAATCAACTGATAAATCCACGGTGATTAGATTGTGCAAAAAAATTAGAGAGAGAGAGATAGAGAGAGAGGGAGACAGAATGGAAAGTGGGGAGTGAAGGAAAAGTGGCGGTTTTGGTGCCGCCAAAATGACCGGATGAGATATAGGGAAGGGGAGGGGAAGTTAAATAAGCGGTTAGAGTGTATAATGTGTGTAGAGTACTACTAGACTATACTGATACTCGTCCTACGATCTCTGAGTTTGACACGTGTCCACCCTAACCCCAATTTTAACACTGTTAACTTTTTGAAAAAAAATGAAGAAAAAAAAATTAAACCCTGAAACCCAATCGTCCCCGCTTACTCCCACCACCATGATCCCCAATACAAATTTAAATATATATACATACAGATTCATATATATACAGTTACACACGCTCATCATTATAATCCCAATTTCACAGGCAGATACCAAAACAATTGGATTCAATTTTACAGATCTGTATCAAAGATCAAAACTTCAGAAAACCCAAATGATTTCATCTAAAATTAAAGATCGGATCAGCGAGACTGTTACCATGGTTGCGGGGTGTAGATCCAGTAGCTGGAGTGCGTCGCTGGTGATTACTCCGCACCTCCCTTGTCGAATTCTCTCTGAGGCAAGTTCTGACTGTCGCCCTTATTTTCTCTTTCGCTACCAGACCACCACCATCGCACTGCAATACCCAGCGCAGCACCATCGCACTGCGTCGTTTCCTTCAAAAGAGGCGGAGGACGATAGAGAGAGGAGGAGGAGAGGGATGGGTTCGATGGTGGTTGTCTGGTTCTTAATTTTTTTTTTTTTTTTTTTAACGTTTTTGGGAGAGTTAACGCTGTTTAAAAGTGATGTCAGTGATGGACAGGTGTCAAATTTTGAGATGGCCACAGAGAGGCCGCTGAAAAGTTGGGGTGCGGAAGATTGGAACTCTTTCGCTCCAATAAATGCAATTTAATTGTGTTGGCATTTTAAAGGCTAAATATTTTCGAGAAATTAAGATGATAATACCATAGCCATGTGATACATATCTTGACTTGCATGGGCATATCTTGGTCCTTTCAAAATACTAAGTTGGTTAATTTGTTAAGTATTTTTACTTTTTAAATTAGATATTTTTCTTTCTAATGTTTGAAAAAAAAAAAATTAAGTTGTACGTGATCAGCTGCTCTAGCAACGCCTAGCTAGGATAACCTACATTCAAGTTCGAAAACCCTAATTGCAAATAACTCCCAACTTGTTGGGGGAGATCTACATTCATCCAATCAGTTTGAAACCTTGATTTTGAAGGTAGAAGTAGTTCCCAAATGGGTTATGCAAATAAATTGTTTATACTATGTATTAAGAGAATCATTTTTGTAATCGAAAAGTCTTAAATGCTCCTTATAACGCTTACAGTCAGACGAGTTTTTTTTTTATTTTTTATTTTTTTAAAAGTATTATAATAATTCAATTTCAAACTTTACGCTCATGCTCTCACTCCCTAATTTCTATCAATATATATACTAAGGAGTGTGAAACTTTAGCTAAGTCATGCAATAAATGAAGATGAATGTTACTAAAATAGTTATTTTATGAAAAAAATCAAAATATAAAACGAAGTATTGTACTTATGAGTTTCAATTTTTTTTAAACAAACCATATTTTATGTACTAGGGGGTCGGGGATTGAGCTAAATCTCACAATTCAAATTCATCTTTGACAAGAATGGAACCTAAGAACTCTCATTTATAAGTAAAAAAAATATCACTAAATCGTAGTAGTAAGTAGTCTATTTTTTTTCTAATTTAATATCAAATCTAAGAAGGAGTGGCTGTGCATACCTTAATATAAAATGAGTGAGTATTCATTTATGGTATTCTTTACATGGGAAAAGGATCCTTGTGGGATCATTTTCCTGGGAATCCTAGGGATTCAATGATAGTGATCGTAGATCGTACATCGTGCGGTCAAAAATCATTTCAAAATTTAAAATTTAACATTAAATGTAAATAATACCTAACAAAAACTAACCGTACAATGTACAATAAACGATTACGATCACAAGATTCTTAAGATTTCCAAGAAAATGATCTATCGAGGATCCTTTTCCCTTTACATAGTATACCTTTTGGGGTGTGCTATCCACACACCCCATTTTACTTCTTACACATCCTTAGTTAATTTATATCATTTGATCTTTTTCAATTCAACCGATCCGACGGTCGAAAATTAGAAGGTGTGTAAGAAGTGAAAAAAAAATGTGCAGATATCATATCCTAACCTTTTATGGGGTACCCTTAAATTTTGGACAGCTGTAGGATGGGAAGTTTTGTCCTATCTGATTATAAGGGCCTTATTTGGCACTTTGGTTCTAGGGTTCATCATGTTCATTGTCCTCGACAGTTCTCTCTGTGTGCCTTCTTTTTCCATCTTTCTTTGAGGAACAAGAGGGAGAGGGCCCGACTCCGTGTGAAGGATGACAGAATGTGTGTCGTTGGTGTTGGGGTATGAAGTTGAGCATGTACAACAAAAAATATATAAATAATCGAGTTAAGAATTCTAAATATAGTAATCACTCAAAACAATAATATGATAATATTCATTTTTACTTGAAAGTGAAAAGTTTAGGTTTGAATCTTTTGAATAGCAAATTTGATATCAAATTAGATTATTTATTATGTGGCATAACCGAACTCTCCTTCATCTCAGCGTAAAAATATATAGATATACTAAAAAATATAAGAATTCTAAATGCAGTATTGATCTTTTTAATTTGACTTGTTAATATTTATTTTTAGTTTTCTTAAAATAAAAAAGAACGGGGAAAACACCTTTTACCTTGCTTGTTTTGTATCGGCTGGAACTATTTGTCTGCCTTTGTTGTGTAATGTCATGCAAAATTATTGTCATGGTACGAAACATATATTCCTATTCATGATTTTCCTCCCAAAAAAAAAAAGCGCTACGAAAATTAAAATTAAAAATATATAAAAAAAATATCAAACCTTAAATATGTTGTTTGACCTAATTAACAAACGATATATTAGCCCAAAAAGTTTACATATAACATCAAAGTAGTGAGTTTGACTTGTCTAATTGTTCTCTGCAAAACACGATATATATCATTTAAATATGCAAAGTTAGAAGTTTATTGTTTTTAGACTTAACTTGATTAGTCTCCCATCGTAGATTCTACACCATTTAATAAGTGGTGATGAGTACAGAAATGTATGTATTAGAATTAAGTTAGGTTAAACATTTGATTCCGTTAACAAAAACTTCTTTTTAAAACCCGAAGCAAGAAGCTGCCACAAACTTTTTTTACCTTGAGATAAGGCAAATTATTATTAAGCTTTGCGTACCCAATTCGGTAAACATATGTACTTGTATTCGTATAAGCACATGAGTTTTGAAAGAATGATGGTCCAAACATGATAAACCAATTTTTAATAACTTTGTCATCTTTTCCCTGCTTGTTTTGGGGACTTCTTTTTTGTTAAGGATATGTTTTAATTAGAGAATTTATCATATATAGCCAAAATTTACACTCTAATTTCGTAAATATCAGTTTTTATAAAAACTATTAAATATATCCAAAATTTTAATGGAATAGACTTCAATACTCTCAAAGTTAATAACAAACCCTAAATCCAAACATTATTAGATAAAATTATGACAATTCCATCTGTTTATGGATGAAAATGTTTTGTTTTGTTTATGATTTTGGTTTTGCAATAAAAACTGGAATTTGTTTGCTTACATGCAATTGTGATGGGTTTTTGACAAATGGAAGAGCTCCTGATGATCGCCGAACATATGGCAGCATGCCGTCGTCGCTCCCAATTAGCCAGACCCTTTTCAACTTTGCCAATATATTTCCTTTTGATTTGTTAGGTTTCCAAGGCATACCGAAAGTACAAGAACAAAAATTAATTATTATTTTAATTTTTTTAATTGAACATTTCAAAACAATATGAAGGAAAAGGATAACAGAGGCCAAAAGGGGAGAGTGTTGCGGCGGTAGGTGGTTCGGTGACAACAATCGTGTTGTGAGTTTGAATGAAAATGAATTCCAACGATTTTAGGTGTTGTGTAATTTGATTTTAATTTGTAGGACAGTTTTGTCTATTTAAGTAAGTTTTATGCTATAATTGATCTTTTTTTATAAAAATTAACATTTATGAAATTAGAGGTTAAATATTGGTTATATATGAGAAATTCCCTTTTAATTAATCACTCTTGATTCTTTATGAACGTCTGGGATAATAGGATTTGAGACTACTTGCATCCTTTCTTCGCAAACCACAATTTAAAGAGACCTTTTTATATTTTCATTATTTGGCTTCCAATTGTATCACCACTAACAATCCATAATATAACACCTTATTTTTTTTGGAAATGATTTATCGCCTTGTTTTCATCTTTACAAACCCATATTTATTTTTAGCTATTGGATTGAACAATGATAAATAAATGAATCACAAGAATTAATAGGAGTGTAAAAAATGAACAAAGACGTGCATAAACCCTTTTTTTTATGATCGTATTACACCTATTTCGTCGCACCTATTTTACGAGTAAGATTTTTTTCCTAGGTTACAAAATTTCTATAAGTGAATTTAATTATTCGGTAGCTAGCTAGCTAGGCTACATTGAGTGTGGCCAAAAGGCAAAAGATGAAATTGAGTTGTTTTACAAGTGTAAGGTTATGGTCTGCATAAATTATTTAAAGGAAAAAAAAAAAAAAAGGGTAAGCTATATAGCTCCAATACAAAAATTAAAAAAGGACGCAAGATCCAAAATCTGGGCTGTCAGTAAAATTGGTTAACCGCCATCTTATTATTCTGCAACAAACTATAATAAGAATATTACTCCAGTCTCTCACCAGACTCATATAGCACTGGTGACATTCTATCTTTTTCGATAAGTAGAGGAAGGATATTCTATCTTATTAATTAACTACAACTAGATTTTGTTCTTTTAATTACACATATATAAATCATAAAATAATTGGTGTGGAAATATGATTATATTTTGCGATCGTACGAATAAATCTATCACAATAACCACCGTCCTGCTTGATGGTATCATCTTTAGACCGATGAATTCAGAAAATTTTCTTTTGATAACAGTCCATATGGAGTTGCTTGTTTGCTTTTACCTTTGAAATGTTTCAACAATTCTATCCACTTCACGACTTACTTGATATTAATGTATTTTCATCATGCACATATATCATGTACGGTACCAATAAAATATTTATACGATGAAAATAAGTTAATTACAATTGGATGGACAAATATTCATGAAAACTCAACTTGTTGATGCCCCCACTAGCTTCTCAATTGTGATGACCTGTCCCTAATTTTCTATGTAATTTCTCCCCGAATATGTGAATTGACATTTATGCCTTGTTGTCAAGTGACGTGGACATGTTTATTTGTTCTGAAATTATTTTTTTCTCGCTATTGTAATTAAATAGTATTCGTTGATACGATCGCATGAGCGCGAGTTTGACCCAAATCGGGTTCGTAACGAAAAAAGTA